TCTCGCGCAAGGCCATGGCCTCGGCCGGCAGCCCGCCCGCCGCCGCGGCCGCCGCCGCCGCCGCCGCGGCCGCCGTGGACGCCGCCTACGAGGAGGGCCTGGCGCGCCTCAAGATCCGCGCCTTCGAGAAGCTGGAGGTGGACAAGCGCCTGGAGAAGCTGAGCGAGGAGGTGGAGCAGAAGATCGCCTCGCAGGTGGGCCGGCTGCAGGTGGAGCTGGACCGCAAGAGCTCGGAGCTGGAGAAGGCCAAGCAGGAGAGCCTGCGCCTGGGCCGCGAGAAGCAGGAGCTGGAGGACCGCGCCGCCGAGCTCTCCCGCCAGGTGGACGTGAGCGTGGAGCTGCTGGCCTCGCTCAAGCAGGACCTGGTGCACAAGGAGCAGGAGCTGACGCGCAAGCAGCAGTGAGTGCCCGGGCGCGGGGGGCGCGTGGCGGGGGGGCGCGGCTCTGGGCCCTCGCCCTGCGGGGAGCGATCCGGCCCCGCGGGTGCCCCTTCCAGGCTGGCTCGGGATCCCCGCACTCGCGCCACGGTGGGCTCGCGTCCTGAATACGGTTCACACGACCCCGCGCTCTTCAGGCAGCCGTGGAAGCTGGCCGCGGGGCCTGGGCGTGGGGTTCCCCTCAGGCTGTTCTGCGTACAAAGACACTTGCTTTTCTATGTTATTCTTTTTCGAATCCATCCAATAAACCTGGACGGATTGCAAGCAGTCAGAGAACTAAGAGGTCATAAAATAGGTGATAAAATACAGTGCAAGCATTCTTTTAAAAAAAAAGAATGCAGTATCATGCGAACCAATACCCAGCACAGGAGTCAATAAAACAACCTTAAAGAAAGATCTAGAGCTGTGTCTCTCAAAAGCCTGGGAGAAACAAAAGGTCCTCCCCCAGGGCCAGAAGGGGAGCACAGGCACCAGAGACCTGGGGCCCAGGCAGTTCCTTCCTAAAGTGGGTTTCCACCACTGAGAAGACATGCCCTCTTGTAGCTGCCCTACCTTTCTTCTGCCAGAGGAGGGTGCTTCCCTGAGCGTCCCAGCAGGTACCCATGGAGGAGAGAGTCCTTCACAGCTCTGCCTCCAAGCTGTTCATGAGTCTGAGGGTCAACCAGCCCTTTGCCTTCGGCTCTGAAACAGCCTGGAACCCCGTGCAGCAATCAAAGCCCTGCCTTCATGTGACCACATCAGCCAGGCCCAGTTAGTGACCACATGGTTCTGTTTTAAACTAAATGAAGTTTCCGAGCCACCAAGAGGAGCTGCGAGTACAGTGCCCTGCAGGAGTCCAAGAGGGAGGATGCCCGGGCTGTTGCCAGACTCTCTCAAGCCCGATATAGTTCAGGGAGATGTATCAAACGAAGCAAATACAAGGTGTTTCTGGCCATCAAGACTGCCTGGATCTCGAGCGATAAGGATGAATCCAGGAGCCACCTGTATGCCTGATCATAGAATGGTAGAGTTGGAAGGGGCCAGAAGGTCATTGGGTCCAATCTGCTGTTAGAAACATAGAAACAGAGCGAGTCAGAAGGGGTCTCCCGGGCCATCTAGTCTGACCCCCGGCACCAGCCGGCTCCGCTCACGACATGCCCTGAGCTTTGCTCCATTGGAGCGCATCCTGCCTTCCTCTGCAGGGGAGAACTGGTCTCTCCCCACCTCCGTGTGACACCCCCTCACATACCTGTATGTCGCCAACAGATCCCCTCTGAGTCTCCCCTTCTCCAGGCTGAAGAGACCCAGTTCCCTCAGTCTCACCTCATACGGCATCCCCTGCAAACCGGCCACCAACCTTGTGGCCCTACGCTGCACTGACTCCAACCTGGCTATATCCTTCCTGCAATGTGGAGCCCAAAACTGAACACACTATTCCAGTTGCAGGTTCACCAGAGTCTGTCACAGGCCACCAAGTCACACCATCCCACTCAGATGACCATCCGGTTTCTTTTTGAACGTCTCTAGTGTTGGAGAGCCCACAACTTCCCCCGGGAAAGGGTTCCATGGTTGTACAGCTCTGACAGTGAGAAAGTCAGTGATCTTTCAGGGAAATCTGTTTTTGAATCCCCGTGAATTCAGCCTTGTTTAGGCCCACCAGGATAGACTGAAAATCAGTCAGGCAGAAAAACCACCAGAGAATTTCCTCCGTGTTGTCTGGATCAAGCTTCAGTTTGTTGATGTATCGATGCATCTCAGTCCATACCCTGGATAACTTGCTCTCAAATTACAACTATTCAGAAGTGTCTTCAAATTCAAGAACTTAAGATTTAGAAAAATATTCACATACTGGAAAAAGCAAGACTGACAGATTTGCCCTCTCCGGGAAGGATAGCCAAAGATACATTTAAAATTGTTTTACAAAACCATTTAGTGTATAAAACCCCTGCGGTTGTGCAAAAATTATAACCAAGGATAAAAAATAGCCAAATGCACAACCAAAATGGGGACCACTCAAGCACGAGGCGATAAAAAGCGGCCTCGGCAGCTGGATAAATCTCTTTCGTGAGTGTTTGTTTCCAAAAGGCAGCCAATGAGAAAGCGAGCCAGGCATCTGTTGCGCTCAGAAGATGCCAGTCAGTCCCTCGAAGATGGGATCATAAGCAAAAAGCCCCACACTGGGGCCCATACAGGAAGGGGCCTTCCATCAGATTCCTTTTTAAGCAAGGGTGATACAAGAAATTCCTGTGTTGCTGGTAACCTCTTCCTACAGAAAGCGGAGGAAGGGACGGGGTGGAATGCCTGTCCTTGACTTGATGCTAACCAGCAGGGAAGGCCTAGTGGAGAAAGGTGCAGCTTGGGGAGAGTGACCGTGCCAGGCTGAACTCTTGATTCTAAGGGAAGCAAGAGCAAGTGTAGCCCAACATATGCCCTGGGCTTTAGGACATCCAGTTCTAGTAAATTCAGAACAATGATAGGCAACGTCTCATGGCAAGGGACTCTAATGGGAAAAGGAGTCCAAGATGGGTGGGAATTCTAACAAAAGGAAATTCAAAACATACAATTATGCATGCCTGCAACAAAGAAGAAGGTTAGAAATGATCTGAAAACAGAAAGGGCATGTCGAGAAGATGGAAGGAAGGCCGGGCTGCAAAGGGCGAATATGGACAACTAACATGGAAAGGCAGGGCTGGCATCAGGAAGGCTAAAGCTAGGAACGAGCTGAGGCTAGTGAGGGATGCTAAAAGCAACGAAAAAGCCTCCTTCAGATATGGCCATAGTAGAAGGCAGAGGAAAGAAACGAGGATTCAGTACTCATTGTGGGTTGCAAAATGGTAACAGATGACAGAGACAAGGCAAATTCCTGCTTTGGCTCGGTCTTCTCCCAAAAGAAGGTCTAGGACCTTCCTGACGAATGGGAAGTACAAGCTGGGAAGGCAGGAAGGCAGTTAGTCAAGGGTCACCTGAGTGCGTTCAGTGCATCCATATCTCCAGGGTCCAATGAACTCCACCCTAGAGACATAAAGGGGCTGATGGAGGAACTCTCAGAACCACTGCCTAGTAGCTTTGGGAAATCATGGAGGATGGGAAGTGCCTGATGACTGGAGAAATGCTAGTCTTGCCTCTGTCTTCAAGGAAGGAAAATGAGAACCCGAGAACTACAGACCAGTCAGTCTGACATCAATCCCTGGGAAAATTCTGGAGCAGATTGAAAAGCAGTCAGCCTGCAAACACCTTGAAAACAATGCAGGGATTACGAGGTGCCAACATGGATTTGTCAAGGATAAATCCTGCCAGATTACTCTGATTTCGTTTTTTAGATTGGGTAACCTCCCTGATGTGCTGTGGACATCATGCATCTTGATTTCAGCAATATATCTTGACCTTTGAGAAAGTGCACCATGATATCCTGATTTGCAAACTAGCTGCAAGTGGCTGGATAGACCAACGATCACAGTTGCAGAGAACCAGACTCAAAGAGCCATCTTCTCAGACTAGGGAAGTGTCACAAGTGGGGTCCCTCAGGGCTCATCAATATTTTTATTAATTGATTGGGCGAGGAAGTGCAGGGAACGATGATCAGATCTGCAGACGGCACAGAACTGGGTGGGAGGGCTAATACCCTGGAAGGCAGGAACAAGGTTGGAGCGCTGGGCCGAAAGCAGCAGCAGGACATTCAAGAGGGACAAATGCCAAGTTCTGCTCCTAGGAAAAAGGAGCCAAGTGCCCCGTTCCCAGATGGGAATACTTGGCTCAACAATACTGCAACTGAGAAGGATCTTGGAGCTGTAGACTGCAAGCTGTTTATGAGTCAACAGTGTGATGTGGCTGCAAAAAGGGCAAATGCTATTTTGGGCAGCGTGATTAGAAGTATAGCTTCCAAATCACGTGATGTTCTGGTTCCCCTCTGCTCAGCACTGGCGAGGCCTCTTCTGGAGCACCGTGTCCAGTGCTGGGCTAGAAAGATGCCATCGAGCTGGGAAGGGTACAGAGGAGGGCAGCAGGGGTGCGCCCGGGAGTGCAGATGAAGACCGGTGAGGAGAGACTAGAAGAACTGGCCCTGTTTAGCCTTGAGAAGAGAGAACTGAGTGAGCTAAGGTAGCATGCCAGAGTGCTTGAAAGGTTGTCACACAGAGGAAGGCCAAGGTCTCTCCTGGATGATCCCAAGTGGGGCATGGAATAAACGCTCAGGTTCCAGGAAGCCGCCACATTCCAGCTGAACATCAGGAAGGACTTCTTGACTGTTAGGGAAATAGGGCAATGACCTCCCACCCTGGAGGCATTCAGGATGCGGCTGGACAGCCATGTAGGCGGATTATTTAACTGAGAGTCCTGCCCTGAGCAGGGGGTTGGACCTGATGGCCCTCTGGTGCCTTGCAACTCTACTTTTCTATGATCCTATTTCCAGTTGTTGTTGTTAGTCGCAAAGTCGTGTCCGACCCATCGGGACCCCATGGACAGCATCCCTCCAGGCCCTCCTGTCCTCCACCATCCCCCAGAGTCCCCCCAAGCTCACACCCACTGCTTCAGTGACTCCATCCAGCCACCTCATCCTCTGCCGTCCTCCTCTTCTTTTGCCATCTAAGGAATGCCAAAAGGAAAGTTTGGGGTTCAAGATGATTTTTCGCTGTGATTCCCCACCCCTACATGCCCACTCAGGAAACTTTGCATCCATTTCCTCCGGACCGGCAAATCTCTTGGTGCTGCCCGCACGTGCACACACACACACACACACACACACACACACACACACACACACACCCTTTGTGCACTGGGGAGCGGAAGGAGCAACAGGGCTTTTTAATGGAAAAACCCCTGCAGAGATGCCCCCTTTTGCTGCAAGATATGTAAATGTTGCGAAAGTCTCTCCAGCCCTTTCCAGCTGGAGGCCCAGTTTCATTTCGGGTGGGCGGAGCCAGAGGCAAAGGGTGGGGGGCGGGCTGGCAACAGGGTAGCTTAAAGCTCCTGCTGCCATTAGCTCAGC